ACAGTGCTCTGTTTTACAGGTGCTATAGTATCTAAAATATTTGTACAATGAGCATTAAAACGTGAAACATATGAGTCCACATTGGTGATGTTAGAATCTAAAGAGGCAGAATCAAAAAGTGAAGTAAAGGCTTCAGAAGTGTGCTCATTTATGATCCGCCTTTGGATCATAAGCCTAGGAGGAGCTGGATCAGGACTAAAAGACACATTAAAATATATACAATTATGATCACTAAAAAATACATCCTCCACACAAACATCCTCTATATTAAGGCCTAAGGAGAAAACAAGGTCCAATGTATGGCCTTTTTTATGAGTAGGCACACACACATGCTGAGTAAAATGAAATGAGTCCATGATGGAGATCAAATCAGCAGCTGCCTTACAGGAAACATCATCAATATGTAGATTAAAATCACCCAATATTAAAACATTCTCCAGCTTAATGATGACAGACAGAAGCTCAGTAAATTCAGATAAAAACACACTGGCTGCACCTGTGGGATTGCAGCTGGATTGCAGTAGGATTGGCTTTTGTCTTCTCTGATCATATTTTACATCTAACATACCAAAGACCCACTTCTTTCTTTTCCAGCCACCTGCTATTCTTCCTCTTCCATACTGTAACAAACATCAGACATGTCAAAGAAATAGTACAACATATTGTTTGGCTAATTGTAGAATTAGCAATATATATTTATTTTATTGTACCTTTATTTTGTGACGAAAATGGCTTTCATCAATTACTACAAACTCCCTTCGTCCTCCGATCAGTTGGCCCGTATGTCTTCTCATCTTTCTCACCYCTGTCAAACAAACACCTCTTATTTTTTTTGGCCATTTTGCTGAGTGTTGCTGAACTGCCTGCAATGGAGTCATCCATCATATCAATTTGCCTTAGTCTTAGACCCTGAGAAAATCTGGAAATACATAATAAAACAATGTATTATTTCTTAAAACAAGTCATTATATTTACAATACATAATATCATAGTTAATATTACCAACCTGTACATAAAACTGATCCAGTTTCCTGAGGATACTTTGGATCGTGAGAATATTGATTTGTGCCTGACAGATATTTGCTTCGGCCTTCCCAAATGAACTGCACTTTGACAGATCCGTCCATCCGTCCGTTTTCTGCCGCTTATCCGGGATCAGGTCTCGGGGGCAGCAGCCTAAGCAGAGAGACCCAGACTTCCCTCTCCCCAGTCACTTGGGCCAGCTCATCCGGGGGAATCCCAAGGTGTTCCCAGGCCAGCTGAGAAACATAGTCCCTCCAGTGTGTCCTGGGCCTTCCCCTGGACCTCCTCCCAATAATAAGATATAAWTGGCAATAAATGGAGTCAGTGTTCCCTTGCCCAGACGCGGGTCACCGGGGCCCCACTCTGGAGCCAGGCCTGGAGCTGGGGCATGTTGGCGAGCACCTGGTGGCTGGGCTTTCACCCATGGAGCCCGGTCTGGCACAGCCTGAAGAGGAGACGTGGGTCCCCCTTCCACCTGTGGGAGGGGCCGTAGGGGRCGGGTGCAATGTGTGCTGGGCAGTGGTCGAAGTTGAGGACTTTGGCGGTCCGATCCTCGGCTACAGAAGCTGGCACTTCGACAGATCCTATTTTTAAAAGTGCAAAAACATAAACAAATCAATATAAACTGTGTAAAACCCTAACAATTTCCAGACTGAAAATAAGATTWGAGTATTTTCATGAAATTTTAAAGTATTTTCTCCCCAAATATTTTTTTAAATATACACTAGCTTATATTTCAATGTTCTTCAAAAATAGGAACTTATGCTCATCCTCTAACAATACAAAGTTTATAAAAACTAATAAATTACTTTGTCAATGAGTTTCATACCAGGCATACTGATCTCCAGTGTTTGATCTTCTCTTTAGTTTCATATCCTGATGACAGGCTTTGCATTTCATTCTCCTTTTCAGCAGTTCCTTCTTTTGAAGCCATTTGATGAGTCGCAATGCTTTTCTTTCATTCATCTCACCATTAATAAGCCTCCTTAGTTTGGTGAATTGTCTCATTGTTGTTGGTTTCATCGTCTTCCTGTAATTTTTTTTTAAAAAAGCCACAAACATGTCTTGCGTCGTGACATCATCAACAATCGACAGAACAAGRGCCTGTATTGTTTACTACTGCTGCTGAATGTGTGAGGGAAAATTGTGGTAAATATGCCTAAAGCCAGTTGAAAAGTTATGCGGACTGGCGCTACCAGCAACAAATCGGTGCCAGTAAAGAGATGGAACCACRGGAGGATATGACGGATGGTGCAAGAAGCAGTAAGTGTACTTCTGTTGGTTCACGTGTGCTCAGGAGTTGCCGGTGTTGTGCCATAAAGTGATGCTCTGACAAAGTGATCAGCCGCCGCGGGAGCGCGCACTACCTCTTTACAACGGGAAGCGTCGCTGTTTTAGTTCTTGGAGTTTAACAACAATAATGCTTACAGAGTGTTACTTGTATGCTCAGGATTATAACGAAGGTGTGTATCAGTCTATATTTAATTTATTCAGTTGTTCATTTAAAAAATAACAATAGTCTTGAAGTAGACCAAGATCTGTAGCTGATAGATAACCAATCTGAAAAAAAAATCCACACAGGATTAGAAGAATGTGGTCAAGGTTATAGTGATTTGTTAAGTAAATGTAAAGTTCTGAACACATCAACAAATGTGATTAAAGTGAAAGGAGTCCTAAAATCAATCAATCAATCAATCAATGCATCAATGCATTGCAATACTTCAACCAGTTGTGGGCGTGGCCTAATGTGAGTGGGTGGTACCAAAGTTGGTGGGTGTGTCCAGGGGGAGTGGCCTACTTACCTGTGGGTGTGGTTTGAATTGATCATGTCTGTGGGCTTGGGAAATATGCCAATAATGTTCAAAAAGTTAAAGTGTTGTGGGCATGGCCTAAAGAAAGTGGGCAGTACCAAAGTTGATATGCATGTCCAGGGGGAAGTGGCCTACTTACCTGTGGGTGTGGTTTGAATTAATCATGTCTGTGGGCACGGCAAATATGCAAATAATGGCTGTGTCCAAAACGACAGGCCGGGTCCTCCGGAGGACCCAGACTACCTAGTCGAGGTGGGCCGGGTCCTTGGTAGACTGGGAAGACCGGAAAAAAAAGAGTCTGTGAGTTTGGACGGCCTAGCCTCCCCTCCACCCCGACCTATGTCTTGTCACCTAGCAACCATGACAACGCTAAACAGAAGCAAAAATAGATCAAAATTAGAAAAATATCAATATATCAATGTTATTAATATCACAAAACAATAAAATTGTCTAAAATGTAACATTTGAAGAAATAATTGACCTGCTGTAGGTGCATGTTTATTTCGCGTTTTTTATGACAAAAATAATATTTAAAAACATGTCATTACAAATGATAAAAGTAACAGAATTACAACCGCTAAAAATGTTCAATTTTTATATCACCATATTTTTATTTAAACCGTATTCTTTTCTCTCACTTCATCTGCCATTACTAACTTAAAAAAATCTCCGGTCGGGCCGCAGTGCATTATGGGATATGCTGGGCCAGGAAGGATCCATTAGACCTGTCCTTCAAATTGGGGAAAAGGAAGGACGTACAGTATTTGTCGGCCACATTGGAGGAGTCTTCGGTTTGGGACCGTCCTTCGTTGCGGCGCTATGACGTATGCGGCCGACAAATTTGGCCTTCGGAGGACCCGGCCTGCCGTTTTGGACACAGCCAATGTCTAAAAATTCAAAGTGTTGTGGGTGTGGCCTTATGTGAGTGGGCGGTACCAAAGTTTGTGGGCGTGTCCAGGGAGTGGCCTACTTACCTGTGGGTGTGGTTTGAATTGTTCATGTCTGTAGGCATGGCAAATATGCAAATAGTGTCTAAATCTTTAAAGTTTTGTGGGCGTGGCCTAAAGTGAGTGGGCTACCAAAATTGGTGGGCGTGTCCAGGGGGAGTATCCTACAAGGCGTGGTTTGAATTAATCATGTTTGTGGGCATGGCAATAGGATAAAGTCAGTGTTTTCAATTTATTAAGAAAACGAAGGCTCGTACACAGGTTTTTTTTTTTCCGCCAGACTTTATAAGGAGCCCTGTAGAGTGCATTGGCTCAGTTGTTTTGTGACTGTCAACAGGAGAACATCTCTCTTCCTAACATTGTGTGTGTCAACTGGTTTTTTRGACGGGGTCGCTCCCACAGTATATAAGGGAGCTGGAAAGCCAGTTCTGCTTCATTCTTCTCTTGCTCTTGATGTGTACACATCATGGATGATATAAATGACCAGTGGTGGGCAGCGCTAATTCAAAGGTTAGTTCTGCAATTTCTAAACCGCTAATTATTTTCTTTAGTTCCTCATGTTCTAAAACACATGTTATAAATATTTTAGTGGAAGCTAAATAGATCCGCTTAATTGGCTTAGTTCACCAGAAGATATACTGTATACTTCCAGTAATAACATGAGCCACTCCGGCACAACGCTGCCATCTAGTGGCAGAGCAAGTTGATTTCAACCCACCTCACATTTTGTCGTGGTTTCAGGAAGTCATTTAAACAAATAGACGTTTGATTCATGGTGTTAATTTAAAAAAAAAGTTGTTGTGGACTGCAAGTTTTGCTGCTTCTTGGTCATTTATTTTTCTTATGTTTATGGCTTCGGTAAGAAAGCATACAATATATTAGTCATTTTAAACTGTTTCTTGGAGAGCTGAAGCGATGCATTCTGGGTAAAGGACCAAGCGAAACCCGTAATTTCAAAATAAGAGCCTGAATTTAAACTGTGCCGTGTGTTGCTTGCTTCAATATGAAAGAAAATAATTAACTGTTTAGGGTATTTCTTTACTGTAATGTCAGATGACGTTTTGCCCCTATTTTAAATGATGATAAACCATACTTTCTGATATTCAGTTAGTTATTAGCAGTACTGCATTGTAATTTTAGAAAGCGCAAATCCGCTTATGAATTATAAAAATTAGTAAGACCGCTGAAGCGCAAATGAAATATTTAGGTCCGCAATTAGCGGATATGCGCTTTAGCGGACTGGTGCCCACCAATGTAAATGACATTGCAGAAGTGGGAATTCTCAACTCCCAGACCATTAATGATGTAGTATTTGAGTATTTGACTATGAAAACCTGACAGACTTCCTACATTCTGACATACAGGTCTTTTCACTCTACATATGTCAGCGATCCATTGACAAGTGTTATGTACACTTTTGACATAGATGGGTTGGTGGTGGAGCTGGAAAGAGCAACTTGCCTTTTGTCATTGCTCCATTACCTGTTGTTTCCAAACCTCCGTCCCAACATGCTAAAGAACTGTTATTACTTCCTGAAAAAACATGTCAACCTTACTCAGTGCAGTCCAGATGGTTTAAGGGCCCTCAAAAACACATGTGGGTACAACATTGCATATGTTGATGAAGGGTACCACCTTGCAATGATGTTGGTGCCAGTTTCATTGCAAGACCCTGACCACAAGCTGTATTATAAACATGTATCAGGCGTTTGCATGTGAGATGTTCAACACAATTGTGTGTGAATTTCAAAAACTGCTGAAATCAACAAACAAGGAGGACAAATGCAGACCTACGCTACAAAAACAGGTTAGCAGCAATACCAGCTGCTACCATGTCCTAAGACAAGACCTCCCTTACATTCTGGCACTATTGGACAAAGCCATCAACAGCTTTTGAAGATGCTCACATCATAAAACCAGCTCTATTCCTGACCATGTTTTGCCAGAAAGATGGTGATGGTGTGTTTGATGTGATGAATGTGGTTGAGACAAGTGGTGTCACCAGTCTGTCTGTCCATGTGGCCTGTAAGGTCACAGCAGTGGATCCTGACATCTATCTGCTATTTTCTCGTTTTGTCCTTCAAGATTTGGTAGGCCCTCGTGGAAAGCTGTACTCCGTTTTAGGCATCCACAAGGCCACCATCTTTCAAACGGACATTGATCACCTACCTATTGACATCCATAAAGGTCTTCGGGATGCACTCACCACTGATGGAAAGCTAAATTTTCTGCAGCTCTATGTAGACTTGCCCCATGTCCACATGAATATGCCCTTAAGGCATCCAGTAAGTGGAGCGATCGTCACCTCTCGGCTTTCCCATCCACAGTACCAAAA